CCCTTCCCTGGTACCTAGGCATAGTGGCATTCGGAAGATTTGCTGGAATCCCAGCTAAGGAAAACTTAGCTTGCAGGTTGGTATAGGAGCAAAGGATAGGTGACCTGTTTTTTGAAGCTTGATTCCGAAACTTCCAAAATGTATGCAAAAACCTACTCTCATTATGGACAAAGATTCAGACTTGTTTTCACCTATAAGCCTCAGATGGGGCTATTCACCTGTAAGCCTCAGATGGGGCTATGTGGCTTTCAGCTTTTCAGCATTCTCTCTCCCCCTGGTTCCCTGATAAAAGTCCCTTTAATAGAAAACAGAGCCTTTTCCTCTAGAATGAGAAATGAGAGTTAACTGGCCTCTTCCTTCTGGGGCACTGTTTTTCACACTGAAGTTCTCAACCCACTGTTGGGTCATGAAATCAATTTAGTGGGTCCTGACTTTTGGCAAAACTTCAAAACTCTATATAAATATGGATATAGATATAAGTATACATATAGATATGGATACAGAATAGAAGAGAGAAGGGAAAGGAACACAACATATCAGAATACATCATACTGGATTCGGATAAGTACTGCTTCATGAGACGTCTGCTTCTGTTTTATCTCCCTGTATGTATGTATTACATGTGGGTCATGTAAAATGTATTTTCTTTCCCCATGGGTCACAGTAAAAAATTTGGAGGGACACCTGGGTGGCTCAGTCAGTTAAGCTCAGGTCATGATCTCATGGGTCCTGGATTGAGCCCCTGCTCAGCTGGGAGTCTCCTTCTCTTCTCGCTCTCCCTCTGCTCACCACCACCCCCCGTGCTCTCTCACTCTTACCCTCGCAAATAAATAAATAAAATCTTTATTTTTTAAATTTTATTATGTTATGTTAGTCACCATACAGTACATCATTAGTTTTTGTTGAAGTGTTCCATGATTCATTGTTTGCGTATAACACCCAGTGCTCCACGCAATACGTGCCCTCCTTATTACCCATCACCGGGCTAACCCATCCCCCCACCCCCCACCCCTCTGAAACCCTCAGTCTGTTTCCCCGAGTCCATAGTCTCTCATGGTTCATCTTCCCCTCTGATTCCCCCCCTTCATTTTTCCCTTCCTTCTCCTAATGTCCTCCATGCTATTCCTTATGTTCCCCAAATAACTGAAACCGTATGATAATTGGCTTTCTCTGCTTGACTTATTTCACTTTGCATAATCTCCTCCAGTCCCATCCATGTTGATGCAAATGGTGAGTATTTATCTTTTCTGATGGCTGAGTAATATTCCATTGTATATATGAACCACATCTTCTTTATCCATTTGTGTGTTGAAGGGCATCTTGACTCCTTCCACAGTTTGGCTATTGTGGACATTGCTGCTATGAACATTGGGGTGCATATGGCCTTTCTTTTCACTACAACTGTATCTTTGGGGTAAATACCCAGGAGTGCAATTGCTGGGTCATTGGGTAGCTCTATTTTTAACTTTTTGAGGAACCTCCACACTGTTTTCCAAAGTGGCTGTACCAACTTGCATTCCCACCAACAGTGTAAGAGGGTTCCCCTACATCTTCTCCAACATTTGTTGTTTCTTGCCTTTTCAATTTTTGCCATTCTAACTGGTATAAGTTGGTTTTGATTCGAATTTCCCTGATGGCTAATGATGTTGAATATTTTTTCATGTGACTGTTAGCCATTCGTATGTCTTCTTTGGAGACGTATCTGTTCATGTTTTCTGCCCATTTTTTGACTTGATTATTTGTTTTTTTGGGTGTTGAGTTTGAGAAGTTCTTTATAAATCTTGGATACCAGCCCTTTATCTGTAGTGGCATTTGCAAATATCTTCTTCCATTCTGTGGGTTGCCTCTTTTTTTGTTGACTGTTTCCTTTGCTGTGCAGAAGCTTTTTATCTTGATGAAGTCCCAAAAGTTCATTTTCGCTTTTGTTTCCCTTGCCTTTGGAGATGTGCCTTGAAAGAAGTTGCTGTGGCTGATGTCGAAGAGGTTACTGCCTGTGTTCTCCTCTAGGATTTTGATGCATTCCTGTCTCACATTGAGGTCTTTCATCCATTTAGAGTTTATCTTTGTGTATGGTGTTAGAGAATGGTCGAGTTTCATTCTTCTGTATAAAGCTGTCCAATTTTCCCAGCACCATTTATTGAAGAGACTGTCTTTTTTCCATTGGACATTCTTTCCTGCTTTGTCAAAGATTAGTTGACCATAGAGTTGAGGGTCCATTTCTGGGCTCTCTATTCCGTTCCATTGATCTATGGGTCTGTTTTTGTGCCAGTACCATGCTGTCTTGGTGATCACAGCTTTGTAATATTGCTTGAAATCAGGCAATGTGATGCCCCCAGCTTTGTTTTTCTTTTTCAACATTTCCTTGGAGATCTGCGGTCTTTTCTGGTTCCATACAAATTTTAGGATTGTTTGTTCCAGCACTTTGAAAAACGCCATTGGTATTTTGATCGGGGTAGCGTTGAAAGTATAAATTGCTCTGGGCAGCATAGACATTTTAACAACGTTTATTCTTCTGATCCATGAGCATGGAATGTTTTTCCATCTTTTCGTGTCATCTTCAATTTCTTTCATAAGTGTTCTGTAGTTTCTAGAGTATAGATCCTTTACCTCTTTGGTTGTTTATTCCAAGGTATCTTATGGTTTTTGGTGTTATTGTAAATGGAATCAATTCCCTAATTTCTCTTCCTACAGTCACCGCCCCCCTTTCCCCCACCTACCCCGTGCTCTCTCACTCTTACTCCTCAAATAAATGAATAAAATCTTTAAAAAAAAAAAAAAGGTGGAGACCACTCTCCTAAGAGAGGTCACCTTGAGACTGAGTCCGCTAAGGCAGACCATTCGCTGAGAGCTGGTTCCACAGGGAAGGGGAAAGAGTAGCAGGCTGCTGAGCACCTGCGCAGGGGGAGCCTAGCCAAGGGTGGGAGGATAGAGAATGCAGGAAGGAGAGAGGAAAGGGAGGGTTCTGAGTCGAACCCACTCCCCATCACCTCCACAGCAGCCGGGATGCCCTGAGCACCAACAGCGCACCAGGCACTCTACCAAGTGCCTTAAGTGAGCTATCCCTTTTGAGTCTCACCACATCCCCCAAGGAAGATGAATAATCTCCTTATCATCTCCATTTTATTTATTCTTTATGTTTTAAATTCTTTTAAGTAATCTCTATGCCCATCATGGGGCTTGAACTCTTGACCCCGCCATGAAGAGTCGCATGCTCCACCAACTGAGCGCCAGGTGCCCCTACCATCCCCACTTTAGAGATGAGGAAACTGTGACTTAGGAGCTTAAATAACGTGCCCAAAGACACACAGCAGGTACTTGGCAGACAAAAACTGGGTCTCACACCCAGGTGTACCCGACTGCTCAGCCCTTGTGCTCATGCGACCCCAGTAGGCAGTTCATCTCTGGCCTGAGGAAAGGGTCTGGTGTTGACCAGTAGCCACGATCAAGTCCGGCCAGCCAGGGGCCTTGCCTTTGGCTGCAGGGCAGGCAGGGCCAGGGAGTGAAGGAGCCCAGGCTTGGGAGCGGGGGGCGGGGGCCAGGGGCTGGTGGCGGCGACGGTGGCAGAACCCCCCTCCTGCGGGTGGCAGGCTGCAGCTTTGCAGAAATCGCTGCTAATTATAACCAAACAATGAGCCATCACAGCCTGCTGGCGGCTTAGCTCCCGTTAGAGGTCTGGCAGGCTTTTCATGAGAACCTCCCCGCCGCCTGAAGGCGGGGGCAGGAGCTGGGGGCTCCAGCTACCTCCTCCCGCTCCTCTGAGCCTGGGCCCCCAGTTCAGTCAGGGCTTAGGGCTCAGTGTTCAGTGCTGTGGGGTATGGGAGGCAGAACTTTGCTCTCGCCTTCCGTGAGCTCACCGTCCCCCCAGCAGGCTCCTGATTGGAATCGACAAAAGCCAGGCCCACTGGAGCCTGGCAGAGAGGAGAAAGGTTTTGGACAGTTTTGTGTCCTTGGCTACTTCTATCCGAGGGCCTTTCTTGGGCGCTGCAGAAATTTATTTTCTGCTCTTCGATAATGGGGAGCACAAAAGTACTTGCTCTGTATAAAGGATCTCTAGTGGTGCTCATTTCTACAGGGCGTCCCAGGGAGAGGGACTCTCAGAATTTTGGCAAGTGTAAACCTGGGTCAGTAAGTCATTAGAGGCCTTGGAACATGGAGGAGTTCCTCAAATGCCTGTTTTGAGGGCTCAGGACTTTGGGAAGGGTGTGAGGGAATAGACAGCCCCAGATGGTGGAGCAGCTGCCTCTGGTTTGGGGGAAATTTACGCTGTTAACCCTTCCAGGGCTGAAGTGTGGACAGGCGGATCCTTGGCCAAACTTCAAAGTAGATGGCGTTTACCTTTGCCCCTTCATCCCCCTCTTACCTTTCCTGGCATCTAACTTCCCTCCAGTGTGCCCTGGAGACCATTCTTCCTATTCCCATATTAGGGCTTCCTTGTCAGCTATCAACCAATTGCATAGGTCTTAGTTGAAAAGTCATCAAGATATTATCCCTCTGGGGAACCATCATGGATGTTAGGGATACTTGGGTCCCATTCCCTAAGGAATCTCTAATGTCTCCCTAGCAGAATGCCTGCCCAGAGCAATGGAGCTTGTTATGTATTTGCGGGGTGAATGAAGGAACATCCGGAAGGGACATGAGAGGACCTCTGGTCTTCATTTTCCAAGTGAAGATCTAAGGCCCAGAGTTGGGTGACCAACTGTCTTGGTGTACCTGGGATTGAGGGGATTTCAGGACATGGGATTTTCACTTTTATTTATTTATTTATTTTAAAGATTTTATCTCTTTATTCAAAGAGAAGGAGAGACAGTGAGAGAGTACAAGCGGGGTGGAGAGGGAGAAGTGGGCTCCCTGCAGAGCAAGGAGCCTGATGTGGGGCTCGATCCCAGGACCCTGGGATCAAGACCTGAGCTGAAGGCAGACACTTAACCGACTGAGCCACCCAGGTGCCCTGGGATTTTCACTTTTAAAACCCAACAAGTTGGGGCGCCTGGGTGGCTCAGTCAGTTAGGCATCTGACTCTTGAATTTGGCTCAGGTCATTATCTTGGGTTCGTGGGATAGAGGCCCACATTGGGCTCGCCCACAGCAGGGAGTCTGCTTGTCCCTCTCCCTCTCCCCCTCCCCACCCCCACATACACTCTCTCTCTCTAAAAAATAAATAAATAAAATCTTAAAAAAACCCAACAAGTGGGTCCCCCTGTGAGAAGTGGCAATAAATAAACCGATGTGGGCAGAGTAGGCAGGCAACAGGAGTTGCCTGGATTTTGTTCATCAGAAAGATGGGAAGCACCAAACAGAGGCCTGTGGGAAGGCAATTCTTAAAAGAAGAAATAGATGCGGCCAATAAACACATGAAAATAAAGTTCAATCTTACTGGTAATATCAAAATACAAAAGAAAGCAATTTTCACCTATTTTCAAAGATTTAAAAAGACATGAACACGTTGGGAAACTGGACGTCTCATTCATCATTGGCAGAGTATAAACTGTTTGATCTTTTTTTTTTCCTTTTAAGATTTTATTTTTCAGTAATCTCTACATCCAACGTGGGGCTTGAACTCACAACCCCGAGATCAGGAGTCACATGTTTCCCCAACTGAGCCAGCCAGGCACCCCTAAACTGTTCTGGTCTTCCTGGAGGATAATTTGGTACGAGGTAAAAAAATGTCTTTAAGATATCCATGCCCTTTGACCAAATAATTCCACTTTTTTTTTTTAAGATTTTATTTATTTGACAGAAAGAGACACAGCGAGAGAGGGAACACAAGCAGAGGGAGTGGGAGAGGGAGAAGCAGGCTTCCCGCTGAGCAGGGAGCCCGATGCGGGGCTCGATCCCAGCACCCTGGGATCATGACCTGAGCCGAAGGCAGACGCTTAACGACTGAGCCACCCAGGCGCCCCCAAATAATTCCACTTCTTAAAATCTGGTCTGAAGGAAATAGAGATACGATCTAAGTTTTGGGTACAAGGATGCTTATTTATTCATGACGGCTTCATAATAAAGTCAAGTTGGAGGCAACCTAAAATTTCTTCTTAGGAAGCCAAATTTAAAAAAAATCCTCTTGATTTTTAAGCAAAGCAATTCAACTCTCCTTTTGTTCTTCCCTCAACTTCCAGCTTATGTCTGAAAGCCCATATTTTAGACTCAGACAATGATTCCTTAAAGAGGAATTTTGCCATTGATCTGTACAATATTTTTTTCAGCCACTTACAGCTCGTACCACTCACATAGGCTATTCTGCCCCTTGGTGTAGTTACTCTGGTCAGAGCATTTTTGGTTGTAAACAACAGAAACCAACTCAGACTATCTCAAGAAGAAGAAAAAGAAGAAGGACAAGGAAGGGAGAAGAAGGAGGAGAAGGAGAAAGAATGGTAGCAGGGAGGGTTTGCCTAAAATCCTCTGGATGGGCTGCACTTTCAGTAAGTTGGCTTTTTCTCTCATTTAACACAATTCTGAGTTTGAGACCCTAACTCTGGTCCTTAATGGCCAGTTGTCCATAAAGTTGGTTAACCTGTCTGTACCTCAGTGGCTTCATCTGTGACAAGGGATTATTGATATCTTATACAGCACTTACTGCGCGGCAGGCTGTGGTACAATAAATAATTACATGGTTCTCACACAGAGCTCTTAAAAACCATGGAATCTCCTGAGTGATAGGACTGTCTTATGTTACTCATAAAGAGCCCTTTCTGACCACATCTGAGTTTATGCTAATGAGATGATTCAGGGTGGGGCCCCTAGATAGTTTCAGGATAGAAGCTGGCCACCAGAAAGACTAATAGGCATGATTAGAGGTTGGGAACTTTCAGCCCCACCCCCCAACCTCCAGAGAGGGAGGAGGGCTGGAGATTGTTCAAGATAAAAACTCTTGAACAGCAAGATTTGAAGAGCTTCTGGGTTGGTGAATACATCATGTACAGGAAGGGTGGTACACCCCGGCTCCACAGGAACAGAGGCACCTGCATTGGGACCCTTCTGGACCCACTGTACTTACCTCTTCATCTGACTCTTCATTTGTATTCTTTATAATGAACCAACAAATGTAAGTAAAGTGTTATCCTGAGTCCTGTGAGTCATTCTAGCAAATTCCTGAACCTGAGTGGAGGTTGTAGGAACCCCCCAATTTGTAGTCATCTGGGCAGAAATATAGGAAGTCTGGGCAACCCATTCATGGCTGGCATTTGAAGTGGGGGGAGTCTTGTGGGACTGGGCCCTGATGCTAAGTATGTGTAGATAGTGTCAGAATTGAATTGTTGGACACCCAGTAGCTGTCAGAGAATGGTTTGTGTCAGAAAACAGTCAGGGACTAAGCATGAAGTGTTCCTCAGTCCTTTTATCAACCCCCTGAGATATGTACTATTATCTGGTTGTATGTGTGAGTGTGTGTCTGTGTGTGCTCAGATCTGCTTCTCCTCCTCTTCTATCAAGCTTTCTCAGAACCTTCATTTCCTCCTAACTTGCCTGTGCACTTGGCTCCTTAATGGCTATTTCAGTACTAACACCACTACCCTACCCCCAGACTCAGACTAGAACCTGGAATGTCCCCTTGAGTCCCACCTGCTGTCAAGTTCTGCCCCTGCTACTACTCTCTTCCCTATCACTCCCCATTCACTGAAGACCTTATGCCTTCCTCACTGTCTTTCTCTCCATCCCTACATTCAGCATCATCCTGGTCCCTTCAATGTCTCTTAAATGATCTTGCCAACACTCTGCCTCTCTGTTAATCAATCTCCTTGCCACCAATGATCTTTCCCTTCCTTCCCACCTCAGTCACCTCCTCCCACATCTCATCCTAGATCTTGTCACCAGCATCAACTGTACCATGTCCCCAAATCCCCATTTCGAGTCGTTCTCTCTGGCCACATATCTGTTCAATTTGCTTCCCACTCCTACATTCCTCCACCCACTCAGGAACTTCTTCCATTCAGTGATCTCCAGTCTATTCATTCGTCCCCCTCCCTTCTCAGCTTAGAGTCCGTGGTCCATCACAATAAACACACTTTCATATATCGTTTTCCTTTGTAATGATATTAAAATATGTCTGCAAGTTCTTTGACAATTGTTTAGTCTTCTTGGGCTGCCATAACAAAATATCATGGACTGGGTTGCTTCTACAAAAGAAATTTCTTTTCTTGCCATTCTGGAGACTAGAAGTCTAAGGTCAAAGTTTTGGCCAAGTTCAGTTTCTGGTAAAGGCTCTCTTCTTGACTTGCAGATGGTCACCTTCTTGCTATGTCCTCACATAGTCTTTCCTCGTGTGCACATGGAGAGAGCAAGCAAATGACCTTTCTGTGTCTCCTCTTATACAGACACCACTAATCCTATCAGATCAGGTCCCCACTTCCATGACCTCATATAACCATAATAACTTCCTTAGGGACTTCATTTCCAAATACGGCTGTACTGGTGGTTAGAGAGTCAATGTATGAATCTTGGGGAGACACAAACATTCAGTCCATTATGATACTCCTGACTTGAAATGGTGGAGTCTAATTTCCCTCCCCTTGAACATGGACTGGACTTGGTGACTTGCTTCTAAGGACTAGAATGTGGCAGAAGTAATGCAATGTGACCCAAGTCTAGGTCATAAAAGGAAAACTTCTGCTTAGTTCTTCCTCTTGGATTGCTAGCTGTGTGAGAAGCCATATGTCAGGTTGCAAGGACATCCAAGCAGCCTATGGAGAGGCTCACATAGAGAGGAACTGAGTCTGTTTGCCAACAGCCACCTCTGGCTTGTCAATCACGATGCATCATCTTGGAAGGAGATTCTCCAGCCCAGTCGAGCTTTCAGATGACTACAGCCCAGCTAACATCTTGACTGCAGCCTTATGACAGATACCAAGCCAGAATTGCTAGCCAGACTGCTTCCAAAATTCCAAGTTCTGTCTCATAGAAACTATGAGATAAGAAATGTCTATTGTTTTAAGCCACTAAGTGTTGGGATAATTTGTTTAACAGCAATTGATAATGAATACAGCCATCTTGACCTTCTTCCTTCCCAACCTATAAGCCTAGTAAAACACTAACATGGGTCCAATCTTTTACCTCTTCCACACCTGCGCTCCAGCTGTTGAATGTGGTGAAAGGCCCCCCTTTAAAGTCATGACTTTGACCTCAGAGGACAACATACTGCCCAGCAATCCTACAATCTATCCCCCAGGCAAGTCACTATCCTACTCCTTGGGATAACTGCATCACACTCCTCTTTTCTCAGGCCTTCACACAACTCCCCCTGCTTCTCACTTTCAGACATTGATATTATATTTTCCCCACTGAGACAACAGAAATCAGGGAAAAAAAATCCTTATCTTCCCACCACCAAAAATACCAACCTTCCAGATTCAGGCTGTCATACTCATTCTGCTTTCTCTCCTCTTATGATGAATGGACCATCCATGTGACAGGCCAGGCCCTTGCCTTGTGCACTGGATCCCTTCTTGCTTATTAAAAGGCATCACTCCAGCAGTTATCCACCTTCTTATCTGCATTGTCAAATTTTTTCTCTATTGGACCATTCCCATCAACACACTAATGTGCTATAACTCTCATCTTTAAAAAAAGAAATCCCTGGGGCACCTGGGTGGCTCAGTTGGTTAAGCGACTGCCTTCGGCTCAGGTCATGATCCTGAAGTCCCAGGATCGAGTCCTGCATCGGGATCCCTGCTCGGCAGGGAATCTGCTTCTCCCTCTGACCCTTCTCCCTCTCATGCTCTCTGTCTCTCATTCTCTCTGTCTCAAATAAATAAATAAAATCTTTAAAGAAAAAAAAAAAAAGAAATCCCTGACTCTACCTTCCCCTTCAGTTACTTCATCATTTTTCTGCTAACCATTCATAGCAAAACTTAAAAAAAGTTATACTGTTTTGGGGCACCTGGCTGGCTCAGTTGGAGGAGCATGCGACTCTCGATCTCAGGGTCGTGAGTTCAAGTCCCATGTTGGGTGTAGAGATTACTTAAAATAAATTTAAAAAATTTTTTTAATGTACTGTTTTTATCTTCTCACCTCCTATTATCTGTCACACATACTCCAATCAGGCTTGTTCCCCTTACCATGACAGTGAAACCACATTTATCTCAGTTCCCAATGACTTCGATGCTGACAAATTTAGTGGTTGGTTCTCTGTTCTTACTTGATCCAGCAGCAGCAATTTCCGTCATTTGATCACCGCCTTGCTGAAAGGCTTTCTTCAGTTGCTTTCAGACACTCCAGTCAACCAATCTTCCTCCTACTTCACCAGCTCTCCCTTGTTCATTTTCTTTTTCTTTTTTTTTTTAAGAGTTTATTTATTTGAGATAGAGTGAGAGAGAGCATGGGGGAAGCAGAGGGAGAGGGAGAAGCAGACTCCCCGCTGAGCAAGGAGCCTGATGCGAGACTCCATCCCAGGACCCTGAGATCATGACCCGAGCCAAAGGCAGATGCTTAACTGACTGAGCCACCCAGGCACCCCTCCCTTGTTCATTTTCTTTTCTGGATTCACTTTTCCCCTTTCACCAGCATTAAGATTGGAATGCCCTAGGGCTTAGCTCTTGGATATTTTCTTCTCTCTTCTTTTCCCTTCTTCTCTCCTCCCTTCCTTCCTTCTGGGTGGCCTGATCTAGTCCCATGGCTTTCAACACCATCCACACGCTGCAAGATCCTCTAGTTATATCTCTAAGCCAGAGCATCTCCTGAGCCCAGGATGATGAAAGGCAGAGTGTGTCTTTAGTTTCCTCCCTTTGGGGCACGTTTCTCCCCACTTCTCTGCAGTTTCTCTCTCTTCTGATACTCAATTTATTCATACTCAGGGGTAACTGATAGGATTACAACGTTAGCTAGCACTCGGCACAATGCCTTGCACATAATGGGAATATTAATCAAATGTAACTAAATTACGCCTTTCGGGGAACAATATTTACATTTGGCCAAAGGCAAAGTTATGCCTCTCTACTGATGAAATTTCAGATATGGACAGATATGGTTTCATCCTCATCAGGCCTGGGATGGAAATGGGGAATGTGAGTGTATTTTTGAGGGTGAGAGGCTTTTCTACAATTGCTCAAATCATGTTGATTGCTAACTCAGTCTTTCTGTAGGAGGTCCTTGGTGTTTCTATCTCTTTTTTGGTTTCATTGTGGTCAGGAGAAGGTAGACCAGCTGACTAGAGCTGCAAAGTCACACCCTAAATTTTAGTGGCTCCTGCCTGGTTGTGGCAGCCCCATTGTTAGTTCACAGCAGTGACAAGCTGTGGATTATTTTTCCACTTAGCTTTTCAGAGAGACACTGTTCTTCAGCCACTGACTAAACCCTTAACTTGGCCAACAATGGTGGATATTCCGGTCCAGAGATGCAAGTTAGACCTTGACATTTGACTGAATCATTTTTGAAAATTTCATATGTCAGATCCTCCATTAAAAAAAGAGTATAATCTTACCTCCCTCCCCCCTCTACTTTATATTGATAAGATGAGCCTCAATGAGGTGACAATGCCGTGGAAGTCAGGGGCACTGAGTCAGTCTGGGTCCTGTCACTCTGGGTAGGGAGCAGTCTTGGATGCAAGGGCTATTTACAGGGTTCAGGGAAACAGCAAGGGTGAGGAAGCAAGGGAAGGTGGTAATGAGTTGCAGGGACCAGCAACAATAGGGACTTGTTACCACCTCTAGGCTGAAGGGGCCCGTGGGGAGTAGTGACCAGGTCCCAGGGGCAGCTGCAGCTAGGAGAGAGTCTGAGACAGGAGACTTGGCCAACCATCAGCTCACCAGGGTGGGATCTGGCCAAATAAACATCCTGACCTCCTCCTCCTTCCCATCTTCTATCAATGCCCCCCAGTGGTCAAAGCTAGCCAGAAAGCAGAGGGCAAGGAAGCCTCTTGGGATAGACCACTGGTAGCTCAGCCTCCTGAATCTCAGAGCAGGGTGGAGACGGCTGGAGAGTGGAGCTGGAGAGGCCAGTGGAGAATATTCTGCAGACTTGTTCTGAAAAATAACTCCCGGAGTCAAAGCTGTTATAAGGTAATGTTCTCAAGATGGCTGGTTTATGACCCCCTGTCTCTACTAACAAATAAAACTAAAGCTGATGTTCTGCTTCAAGATGGGGTATGTGATAGTTAATTTTATGTGTCAACTTGATTGAGCTAAGGGATGAGCAGATAGCTGGTAAAACACTTCTGTGTGTGTCTGTGAGGATGTTTCTGGAAGAGAATCAGTAGACTGAGTAAAGAAGATCCACCCTCTATTATGTTGAGTGAAATAAGTCAAAAAGAGAAAGACATGTATCATATGATCTCACTGATATGAGGAATTCTTAATCGCAGGAATCAAACTGAGGGTTGTTGGAGTGGGGGGTGGGGTGGGAGGGATGGGGTGACTGGGTGATAGACACTGGGGAGGGTATGTGCTCTGGTAAGCGCTGTGAATTGTGCAAGACTGTTGAATCTCAGATCTGTACCTCTGAAACAAATAATGCAATATATATGTTAAGAAAAAAAAAAAAGAAGAAGAAGAAGAAGAAGAAGGTAGCGGGAGGGGAAGAATGAAGCGGGGGAAATCGGAGGGGTAGACGAACCATGAGAGACGATGGACTCTGAAAAACAAACAGGGTTCTAGAGGGGAGGGGGGTGGGAGGATGGGTTAGCCTGGTGGTGGGTATTGAGGAGGGCACATTCTGCATGGAGCACTGGGTGTTCATCTTCATCTAAAACTAATGATGTAATGTATGGGGATTAACATAAGAATAAAAAATAAAAAATAAAAAATAAAGAAATTATTAAAAAAAAAAAAAAAGAAGATCCACCCTCATCAATGTGGGTGTTCATTATCAAATCCATTTAGGGCCCAAATATAACAAAATGGTGGAGGAAGGCCAAATGCTCCCTCTCTCTCTCTCTTTTTGTTTAAGTAATTTCCTCACCCAACGTGGGGCTCAGACTCACAACTCCAAGATCGAGAGTCGCATGATCTACCAACTGAGCCAGCTAGCCAGGCACCTCTTCCCTCTCTGTTTTTGATCTAGAATGTCTATTTTTTCCTGCCCTTGGACATCAGAGCTCTTGGTTCTCAGGCCTTCAGGCTTGAACTGAATTATACCACCAGCTTTCCTGGTTCTCCAGCTTGCAGATGGCAGATCATGGGACTTCCTGGCCTCTGTAACCGTGTGAGCAATTCCTTTAATAAATTTCTATACATACCTCTCTATATCCTATTGGTTCTGTGTCTCTGGAGAACCTTAATACATGGTATTAGAATAATCTATGCGTGTACGAGACTGCAAGTCTGTTCCCCAAATGACGCTTATGTCACAGGGACAACATTTATTGAAGTGTGAGTATTCTACAGAGAGTTTTGGCTTAATACCTGATACCCAGATCTTCTCGCATGGAGAACTGGGAGAATGGGTATGGAGAGAAACTGGAGGAAAACGGGAAGGACCTGACCTAAGAGGCTAAATCACCCTTCCTAATAAAGAGCTCAGAAAAAGGGAAGACAGTTGGGTGCTGGAGAGAGTGGAGATTTTGACACGTAAAAGGCCCTTGAGTAGCTATGGATGTGAGAATTAGGGAGGAGAAAAAGGGGCCATAGAAAGAATGTGCAAAGTGTCTATGTCTTTTCAAAAGATACTAACAAATAATTGGAATTCCTTTTTAAATGACTTTCAGTTGCTGAACCAGATTTCTTTACACGAGTGTCCAAGCAGAGTGTCCCCCCTCAGGGGACCCATACTTTTATTGGAGTTACACTAAAAAACCTTCGGGATGGTTTTGGCAAGTGAGCACTGGTCAGAAACCACTCCACACACCACAATCTCTACGCTCTGAGCACTAGCACACAAGCCTGGAATGTTCTGAGAATCCAGCTTCCTTCTACGTTGTTGCTCCTTACACAGGACCACTGTAAACGGAAGGCATGCCCAGTTTACTCTTTCTGTACAGAAGCCAGAGAGGATAAACAGGTTGTTCATGATCACCCAAAAGACTAAAAGAGAACGGAGGCACAGCGCGGGTCTCTGAATCCCTGTGTGGCCTGCATTCTGCTCAGCTGACTGGCTGCGAATTCTGTTTCCTTCCCTTTCTAGAAAGTGAAAATCCATTTTCACTTGCCTTCCTGAGAAGGCCCAGGCTTTTGCCAAGGGCCGGTGTGGGACAAGACTGGAACCTGGGCATTTATAAAATCATTTCTTTGGAGTCCTTAATCTCTCTCTTGAAAGCAGTTTAAAGTGCACAGGGGTAGGAGGCTGAGCCCAAGGACTAGGGCCTGAGGTCTGAGCATTGAGGCATGCCATCTCTACCAAGTTCTGGATTGCCCAGCCATGCAGCATTGCCCTGTCAGAGGCTCTCATCGGGATGGGATGTTTCCCCATGCAGGAGACGCTGACTGAGGGGTTCTGGAAAGAAAGAAGCCTCCATTTTCTTTCATGGATACTACCAGAAAAGCAGCTTGCTCTCTCCTACGTGGGGATGAAGGTGTATCCAGCTTTGGTTGCTGCTGGCAAGACCACACTGCAGCCTTGAAGGCTGAAAGTTTTCAGATGAAGTTGACACCATCGGGGAGGACAGAGAGACCAAAAGCAAACAAACAGACAAAAACAACTCAGAGCAAACAGCTCAGACCGTCTGCAGAAAAGCCCACCCACCTTGAACAACTTTATCATCATCATGGACCGATAGATTCCCTTTATTGCTTAAGCCAGTCTGAGCCGTGTTCTCTGTTTTTGCAGTAGAGACCATCCATCCTCCTGATACCTTATGGCAGCTTAGCCTCTGCGCTGAAGGAACAGAACAGGGAGGCACAGTCTGGGTCTGAGAAGACTCTGTCCAACACAGGTCACTGGGTTTTAACTCTCTTCCTTGGGGAGGGAGGGAAGGTCAGTTAAGTTCATCTCACAGCTGGGTGGCAAGGGGTGACAAGTCCGTCATTCAGCAAAGGCACAGCTGAAAAGATGCTCATGCACTTGAATGTGACCCTCTAGGATCTCCGAGGGCTTGGGCTGCCAGAGCCATGTGGGGCAGCTGTTCTTTACTCCCAAACGGTCCGTGGAAAGATATCAGAAAGTCCCTGAAACCCTGAAACTGTATAAGGAATTTTTGTGAGTACATTTTCACCAGGTTTTCAAAAGGAAAGAATCACTGCTCTGTTAATTAATTAATTAATTAATTTTTAAGATTTTATTTATTTTTCAACAGAGAGAGAGAGACAGCGAGAGAGGGAACACAAGCAGGGGGAGTGGGAGAGGGAGAAGCAGGCTTCCCGCTGAGCGGGGAGCCCGATGCGGGGCTCGATCCCAGGACCCTGGGACCATGACCTGAGCCGAAGGCAGACGCTTAACGACTGAGCCACCCAGGTGCCCTCACTGCTCTGTTGTAAATGGTATAAAGCCTTCTAAACCCACTTGCCTGGCTCTCCCCTTGTCATAAAACAGAGTGACTACTCCTCTTCCTTCTTTCTCCCCAGAAGGGATGGGCATCTGAGAGATCGTAGACGGGGGAGAAACCCGTTAGATGGAAAAATCACGTTTAAGTGATCAGGGACTGTGCCAAGCTATTGGGAGAGGTGAGCAGGGTGCTGTCCTGAGGAGAGAGAGTCTATCTGGAAGTGAAGGCAGACATGAGCTTAGGTGAAGGAGAACGACGAAGCCCAGACCTGCCCTCTCTGTAGGAGCCCCAGGTCCATGGATACACATGAAATGCATCTGAGCATGCCACAAGCCGTGCGTGCATGGGATAACAACGACCATTTGCATCGTCTGCTGGTTTTCAGTGGGCATTTCTAGAACACACTGCCTCATACGGGTCATGGAAGCTGGGTCTCACATGTTGCCCCAGGTTCTGAGAGTGCCGGGCCCAGGGTCCCCCAGGAAACAGTGGCGCTGTTGCCCAAACTGGGTGTTCTGTTTTCTCTCCTGGTGCTCTATCCTTTATAGCAGTGATTTCTAAACCTGACTGATCAAACAGCACACCCAGATGCTTCCCTGTAATGCAAAGTCTTGGGCTCTTCTACAGCCCTAGAAAGGCTGATTGGATATGTCCGGGGCAGGGCCTGGGCACCTGCATTTTTGGAAGCATTGCCAGGCGAATCTGAATGCCACTTAGATTTCTGGAACAACTGCTGTATATAAAGAGCACCGTGTGTGTGTGTTTGCGCACGCGTGTTTGTGCGCACCTGCACAGCACACGTTCTCCAATAAGCAGGCCTAGCAAACCTGTAAAATAGGGAACATATCTTGGATGGCTCTCATCTACTTTTTTAGGGCTCTCCTACCCTTTGGCCATTTTTCCTGATGCCTCATGGTTCTTTTGCTAACCTCTCATCAGATGGCAGCTTTGTCCCTTTTAGGGGTTGGTGCTTTGTCACAGTAGACTAAAAAAGAAGAAGAAGAAGGTAGCAGGAGGGGAAGAATGAAGGGGGGGAAATCGGAGGGGGAGACGAACCATGAGAGATGATGGACTCTGGAAAACAAACTGAGGGTTCTAGAGGGGAGGGGGGTGGGAGGATGGGTTAGCCTGGTGATGGGTATTGAGGAGGGCACATTCTGCATGGAGCACTGGGTGTTATGCACAAACAATGAATCATGGAACAGTATATCTAAAACTAATGATGTAATGTATGGGGATAATATAAGAATAAAAATTTAAAAAAAAAGGGATGGATAAGTTCAAAAGCAGTAAGTCTCTGATGGTAGAATTTCAGGCTTTGGGACAGGCAAGTGGGTGTGAGAGCTGTTTTAGGGAGGGAGGGGGGACATCTTACTGGGCCATACGGTGGTTGTGTGTTTGCCATGGATGCTCTCTGCCCCAGAACTCCCATGTGTGTTATCATATGCTTGCACGTCTACCATACAAATAGAATATCCACAAGACTCTCAGAATGAAAAGCAAACAAATATCATGAGCAGGTGGATTTTTAGAGTGTGCAATCCTTTTTAGGGGGAAAAAAGCATGATGAACGCATTTTCAGTGTCAGGTCTCAGCACAAGGCATGCTCTTGAAGCTGGAAGAGAGGCATCCAGAAATATGAGTTTGTCATGGAAACGCTGACAGGGCTTCAGCCGAGGGATGCTCACAGGTGCAGCCCAGAACGGCGCAGCCGCTGTGGCTTATTTACATCCTGACTCACTGAATGAATTCTCGTTTCCTATTTCCTGGCCCTGGGAAGCCAGCTGGCCTGCTGGACCTGGGGGGGTTCTTCACCCGATAGGTGGCTGTGTCTCTCTTGGTGGTTTTTAGGCTTGTGGAGCAGGGAATAGAGATGGTCTTAGGATCGGTCTCATATCTGGGAGAACGAGTCCTGGAAGGAGCAGAGAAAGAAATGAGGGAAGGGGGTAGGGA